GCAAGGAGAGCTTGTAAAAAGAACAAAGAAGACAAGAAAGCTCAGGAAGAGGCTTGGAGGCATCCAAGCAACAGGTTGGGCAAGCAGGATAATCCTTATCAGAATTGAAGGATTACTTACAAGTGAGAAACACTATCATAAGGAAGGAGAAACTCTCGTAATACACCACATCGATGTGAAACGGAAAGCCTTCTTCAACTTCCTCCGCTTACATGGTGGAGTGAAGCCAGAGGCAGCAGATGCAGCAGGAAAACCTGCCTGGCTCCCCTATTCAGCTGCATAACCTTGGGAAGGTTCCCTAACCTCTCTGTTCCTCAGTTTCTCCACCTGTGAAGTGGCGATGTGAGTAACAAGACTGACCTCATTGCATTTTTGGTAAGGGCTATACGCATGTGCAATATGATTATTCCTTCCCTCAATGGCTACCTTATCCTAGAAGGGATTGGCAGCAACTCTCTCTTACCGGCTCTGATTTAATGTAGACCCTACACTCCTCAAGCTTGGCTCACAGTAAAATGAAACTGTTCAACTTCACTGACTCCTCTCATCAGAACATTACCGCTCCTTCTCACAACCATGTGGACCCTCTGTCCCTTTTAAGAACCTTCTGGGTGCATCACTATGAAATTCCCTCAAGCTCCGATCTATACCCTGGTTGAGAATTCCTGGGCCGCTTGTCTTGCCTTGACTCCTCAGCTTGAATTACGTATCCAACTCTTAAGCTCACGGAGTGCCCCAGAGTCTATGTTTGATCGAATTTCCAGGACTGACTTACGCGTTGCACATAAAAGAGACATTGACCTGGGCAGGATCAGGATCTAGGTGATTGATTACCCAAGAAATCAGTTAATTCCCCCTTCACCTTGCCTCGCGAGGAAATTTGCTCTTTAATGACCAAGTTGCATGGAAAGGAGTTAGTTTCATATCCATCTTCCCTGGAGTCCAGGGAAGTTTACTTTTGTTCCTGTTTTTGTTCGGCTTTTCCTTTTAGTGAGTATCGTTATGGATTTACGGATTTTTATACAGTTGCTACACTTTTTCAGACAATTATCACTCCATGAATTGTTGATGTTCACGCTGTCCTATTTTTTTTGATAAGTAGTGGCTGCTTTAAGCTGGCTGCTGTATTCTCCCTGTGCACTCCGCCCTTCCTTTGATACAGCCAAGGTGCTAGATGTCCTTGTTCTCCTTGCTCCTTCCCACCCCAGACCTTGGATCTCCCACACGGCCAAGGAGCCCAGAATACTTTCAGTGGGAGGTGGCGTTCACACAACAAACTCTTTACTTGGCGAACAGGCGATTAAAAGAAAGAAAATGAAACTTTTCTTCTGATTCCCAGTACAAATTGTATTTTAGAGTAACCAAGTAGTTGCAGAAGATGAAGGGATGTTCTTTACTGGAGAATTCGGCTACTATTTGTAGACAGGAAGGATGATAGAACTAGAAAATTAGCATTTGCAAGGGCAGGAGACATTCTTAGAATAGAGGAATCAGACCATCACCACCTTAGATCAATGAGCGCTCTCAATATCATGAACAGCAGGAAACCCTGACATGTTAATATCTTAGATGTGATCATGATATTGGATCCATGAAGAACAATGTCCTCACTTTTTGTTAAAACAGCTCTTTTGGGGGATATAATTCACATACCATTCAATTCAGCCATTTACAGTGTAAAATTCAACGGCTTTTACTATATCCAGAGCTGTGCGCCTTCCTCCACAATTAATTTTGGAACATTTTCATTAACTCCCAAAGAAACCCCATACCCTTTAGCCTTTGCCCACTCGTCCCTCCATCCTCCCATCCCCCAGCCCCAGGCAACCACTAATTTACTTTCTGTCTATAGATTTGCCCCCTTCTGAGCATATTGGAGTCATGCAGTATGTGGTCCTTTGTGACTGGCTCCTTTCACTTAGCATACTGTTTTCAGGGTTCATCCACATGAATGATATCCCGTTGTATGCATAGACCCCATTTTATTTATCCGTCCATCGGTTTTGGACATCGGGGTTGTTTACGTCTTTTGACTGTTGTGCACAGAGTGCCACTGTGAACATTTATGCAAACTATTCATCTGAGTACCTGTTTTCAGTTCTTTCCTCTCTACACCTAGGAGTGCAATTGCTGGGTCATATGCTAATTCTATGTTTAACTGTTTGTTTGTTTGTTTGTTTGACCCTGCCTGAGGTTTATTTGCACAAACACCACAGGAGGACCCCAGCCCCAGGGGCACACCAGTGCTTCTGTCCTCACATCAGCAGACAGAGGCCTCTACTACAGAGCCTTCACAGGGGCCTGAGCACCTTTGGGAGCCTGAAACTGACCCTGAGCCGCAGCCGCATTTGCAGCCTGGGGCTTGGTTTGGGCCATGGCCTTGACCTTTGGCTGGCAGAGATGGAGACCCTTGGCAATGTAGGCACGAGCAAGCCTGTTTCCCCAGCTTGGGGTGAGCAATGTAAGCAAGTTGACTAAGCTTGCGGCTGCCGCCCTTTGGGATCTTGGGCTTGACCTCCTTGGACTTGACCAGGGCCTTGATAACCTCAGCACATGCTCTCATGGCCTTGGCGTTGTTGGCCTGCATCTTCTTTGGGCCCTTCTTGTTGTGTTTCTTGGCAAAGCACACGTTCCTCAGGAACCTGGGGTCTACCCCCTTGAGAGATTCATATCTTTGGGATTGGGGCTTCTTGATGCCATTTCTGTGCTGTTTAACTCTTTGAGGAACCGCCAGACTGTTTTCCATAGCAGCTGCACCGTTTTACATTCCCACCAGCAGTCTGTGAAGGTTCCAATTTCTCTACATTCTCACCAACGTTTGTTGTTATGTCTCTTTAATGTTAGCCATCCAAGTGAGTGTGAAGTGGTATCTCCTTGTGGTTTTCATTTGCCTTTCCCTGATGACTAATGATACTGATCATCTCATCATGTGTTTATTAGCCATTTGGGTATCTTCTTTGGAGAAATCTCTATTCAGGTTCTTTGCCCATTGTTTTTTTCATTTTTAATAGAATTTATTTTTCTAGAGCTGTTTTGGGTTCTCAGCAAAGCTGAGTAGAATGTACAGAGTGTTCCCACAGACTCCCCTGCCTCCACACAGCCTTCCCCATTATCAACATCCTGTACCAGTGAGGATACATTTGTTACCACTGATGAACCAAGACTGACACATCATATTGATCTAAGTGCATAGTTTACATCAGGATTCATTCTTGCTGTTGTACATTCCATGGGTTTGGACAAATGTATAACGACACGTATCCACCATTATGGCATCATAAAGACAAACCCTCTGCGCTCCTCTCTTCATCCTTCCTTTCTCACAACCCCTGGTAACCATTCATCTTTTTACTGTCTCAGTAGTTTTGCCTTTCCCAGAAGTCAGAGGGCTGGAGTCATACACTATGTAGCCTTTTCATATTGGTGTATTTCACTTTGTAAGGTGCATTTGAGGTGCCTGTGTGCATTTTCATGGCTCTATAGTTCATTTCTTTTTAGCACTGAAAACTATTCCATTGTCTGGATGGACCACAGTTTATCCATTCACCTACTGAAGGACATCTTGGTTGCTTCCAAATTTTGGCAATTATGAAGAAAGGTGCCATAAACATCTACATGCCCCTTGCCCATTTAAAAATTCTCTCTCCTCCTATGGCTGGCATAGCTCAGTGGATTGAGTGCGGGCTGTGAACCAAAGCATCGCAGGTTTGATTCAGTCAGGGCACATGCCTGGGTTGCAGGCCACGGTCCCCAGCAACCACACATTAATGTTTCTCTCTCTCTCTCTCTCTCTCTCTCTCTCTCTCTCTCTCTCTCTCCCCCCTTCCCTTCCCTCTCTAAAAATAAATAAATGAAATCTTTAAAAAAACTGGCAACCTTTAAAAAAAATTCTCTCTCTCCCTCGTTCTTGAGTTGTGGTCACTCTTATACATTCTAAATACAGGTCCCTCATCAGTATATGAATTGCAAAGATTTTCTCCCATGCTTTGCATTGTCATTGGTATCTTTTGAAACACATAATTTTTTAATTTTGACGTTCAGTGGATTTTTGTTGTTGCTGCTTGTGCTTTTGGTGCCATATTAAAGAAATCATTGTCTAATTCAAGGTCATGAAGATTTATACCTATATTTTCTTTTGAGAGTTTTTTGTTTTAGCTCTTACATTAAGGTCTTTGGCCCACTTTGAATTAATTTTTGCATATGGTGTGATGACATTATTTTTATAGATGCAGACTAAAGAATTTAGGTGTGACTATACATTGACTATAATTTGAAATACTTCAGAAAAAAATAGAAGAATCAAATATGGCAAAAGTTTGACAGCTGCTAAGTCTAAGGTGATGGGTTTATGGTTGTTGCTCTTTACACTCTCTGTATTTTTTTAAATATCCAGTAAATGTTAATTTAAATATCAAAATATCCATTTGCTTTTCCCAACCATTTAAAAATGCAGAAATTTAGTTCACAGGCTGTACAAAGACAGGCAGCAGACCGGTTTGTCCACCTCTGGTTCAGATGATTCCTATTCATATTGAGGAAGAGCCCATAAAGATGTTATTTATTTTCAGAAGAATGTGTTACCCTCAGGCATGAGGATGACACAAAGCATTTCCCAGAAGAGGAGGTATAAAAGCCACTAGCTGTGTGGAACTATATAATTACAATTAAATACAATTGTAAAAAGTCCGTTCCTTACACTGGCCATAATGAAGTACTTCATAGCTAGAGAACATTTGTGTCACTGAATACTCACAGATCAGAATACAATAGCAGTTTAAATGGCCTCACGTTTATTAATGAACCAACTGCACAAAACAAATCAGCAGAGAAAAATCATGTTTTCTGATAAGCTCCCAGTGAAAACTGTGCAGAGAGTAGTGATCTTTTCAGCGATTTGAAGAGGCAGACAACCTGGACAGAGCGTAAATATGTGAGCCACCTCTTACATGCCCTTCCCTAGGGAACCAGGTTGGTTCTTGTCCAATGTCACGTGTGTTTCCCTACAAACCCTGTTTGGTTCTTCTCCAATGTCTCTTCTTGGAGCTGGACCTGATTTTATTACCAGTTTTCATCCAAATCCACCGGAGAAGGGCCCAACTCTGCCTTTGCTTCTTGGCCAGGAACCTCTTGATCCTGAAAGTCTTGTGAGAAGATGTGACGAAGAAGAGTCAACCACATAGACCATGATGGCAGAGAGAGAGGGGAGGAAGCAGTCTCTTCGATATATATTTTTTTATTCCTTTTTTAAAAATATTTTATTTATTTATTTTTTTAGAGAGGGAAGGGAGGGAGAAAGAGAGAGAGAGAGAGAAACATCAACGTGCGGTTGCTGGGGGTCATGGCCTGCAACCCAGGCATGTACCCTGACTGGGAATTGAACCTGCGACACTTTGGTTCGCAGCCTGTGCTCAATCCACTGAGCTACACCAGCCAGATATTTTTTTTTATTCTTTAAATAACAGAAAGTACAAGGAAAAACTCAAAATAAAAATTACAAAAAGACTTGATTTGTGAGTGAAAATGTAATAGAATAAATTTTCATTCATTTTAACTTATATTTTAAATTATTTATGAACTTTAGCATTTTATTTATTTATTTATAGATTTTTTTAAAATTTATTTATTTTTAGAGAGGGAAGGGAGGGAGAAAGAGAGAGAGAGAGAGAGAAACATCAATGTGCGGTTGCTGGGGGTCATGGCCTGCAACCTAGGCATGTGCCCTGACTGGGAATCGAACCTGTGATGCTTTGGTTTGCAGCCCACACTCAATCCACTGAGCTATGCCAGCCAGGGCTATTTATTTATTTAATCCTCACCCAAGGATATGTTTATTGATTTGAGAGACAGAGAGAGAGAAACGTTGATCAGCTGCCTCTCGTAGGCACTGCCACCAAGGATGGAAACCACAACCCAGGTATGTGCCCTGACCAAGGATGGAATCCGGGACTTTTTGATGTATGGGACTACACCCAACCAACTGAGCTACCCAGCCTGGGCTAAACTTTAGCATTTTATAATTTGGTGTAAAAAATTAGTTGTCACATTGCTAATATAACACACGACAGAATGGATGAATCAAGGTGTCTTGGCACTGCTCTTAGGGACCAGTGTTCTAGAGCTTCTTCCTATAATATGGCAACTCCTAGGGACAGGTGGCTGTTGAGCACTTGAAATATGGGGAGTCCCAGTTGAGATGTGCTGAGGGTGTAAAGTATACATTGGCAAATTTTGATTTGGGACTGGATGGTAAATAATTTAGGCTTTGTGGGCCAAGAGGCAAAAGGGAGAGGGAAATATATTGGTACTTATATAATGACAGAAAACAAATGTTCACAATGTTTTTATTGACGAAATCCCAAATATAGTAATAGTTGAGTACAGTTTTTTTTTTTTTTTGCAGTGCACACCTATGAGAGGAAACGAGTTCTTTCTACAGGGGGATATTTGTCTTCATTGGAGTGCAAAGGTAGTGTAGCTATTATCATATGGATTGCAAAAGATCCCGTGTGAAAACAACGGCTCTCAGGGACAAAGAGGCAGCGCTGTGCCTGTGGCCTTGGGCCACCGTGTGCAGACCCTTGTAGTTGGACACCAGTCGTGTGCAACGAGTTTGGGGGGATTCCGGGTTGAGGGAGTCACTCTGGTTGCGAGACTCGTGCATCGCCTCTTGCAGCACTCTCCCTAAGTGCCCAGTTCATCTGGTTCATTAGCTTTCCCCCACGAAGCAAGATTTGCGGCCTGGAGGGGTCCGAGGGAGGAGACACCTTAAGGTTTCAGGACTACCCAGGGATTCCAACCCTACCGCCCTGGGGCTGTGGTCGGCCGCATCCTCCCAGCACCCTGCGGATCTCCCTCCGCCGCTGCTCCCCCACCCCCTCCAAGGGCGCTACTCCCCCACCGCCTCCTAGGGCGCTTCTCCCCCACCCCTTCCAAGGGCGCTTCTCCCCCACCCCCTCTAGGGAGCTGCTCCCCCACCCCCTCCAAGGGCGCTGCTCCTCCACATTCGCAGGTTGCTCCTCCCCCTTCGCAGGTTGCTCCTCCCCCTTCGCAGGCTGCTCCTCCCCATTCGCAGGCTGCTCCTCCCCCTTCGCAGGCAGCTCCTCCCCACCACTAGAGCTCCACCAGCGGGTCCAGCCGCTGCGCTTTCTAGTTCCTCCCCCGGCCCCGCCCCCCGAAGCCCCGCCCCCCGCAGCTCCGCCTCCCACAGCTACTCTTCGCCGGTTCCTCAGTCCGCCCGGCAGCCGCGCTTTCCCGCTCGAGCAGCCGCTACTAGTGTCACCGCTGCCTCCGCCTCGGTCGCGCACCCGTCGAGTCTCAAGATGACCAACATCGTGCTGTTCAGCGGCAGCTCGCACCAGGACCTGTCCCAGCGTGTGGCCGACCGGCTCGGCCTGGAGCTGGGCAAGGTGATCACCAAGAAGTTCAGCAACCAGGAGACCAGGTGGGGACCCCGCCGGGCCGGGGAGGGCGCCGGGAGCTGGGCTGCGAGGCCGGGCAGGGCGCTCCCCCTTCCGGGGCGGGCCAGCCACGACGCGGCCTCCGCGCCACCGTCGCGGCGCCCCGGAAAGCCTAGGAGGGCGGCCCCAGCCCGGAAGGGCAACCTGGGGGGCGGTCACAGCGCCTCGGAGCGCGGGGGGCACAGCGGGCGGGAACCGCCGGGGTGCGGGACGGGCGGGCCTGGCCGCCCTGGGTGCGCTCGCCCCGGTTTCGTATCCCTCCCGGGCCGATCCCAAACCCCGCGTGCTCGGGAAGGTTCCGCCCACGCCGCCGCCACCCCTCGGTGTGGGGAGCAGCGTGGGGTAAAAGCCACCAGGTGACTGGTCTGAGAAGCCGGGGCACAACCCTTCGCGTTCACCGGCGGGTGTGGTGGTGCCCAGGGTTTAAAGACCGTGGGAACTCCGGGGGCGCACGTGTTGGGCTGCCTTACGTTTCCTCTAATTTCTCTGCCTCCGAAAATGATACACTTGCAGCTCCTTCGCAGTTCTGGGACTTGGCGGGGTCCAGGAGCCAGGTCGTGGCTAGAGTGGAAGCGCCACGCGTGTCTCAGGCCCACAACGAGCGCCCGCCTCTGCTCATTGAAGGCAGGTGGCGGCCCCTTTCTCCACCGGCCTGAGTCTTCAAAGCTTTTGAACTGCGGTCATTTCACGTTGGTGTCAGTTTCAAGTTGGTGTCGTTTCTCCCCGCTCTCCCTGTACATATCTAGCGCTGCACACGCTTGCTGATCATTTTTTTTCTCTCCGGCCAAGACCCACTTCAACCTTTTCAACAAGTGGTGCCGGAACAATGGGTGCCACCTGCACAACAAACAAACGAAATCCTCCGTCCGTAGTTCCCTCCATTGGAAAAAATTCGGCTTGAAATAGATCGTGTAGACCTCAATATAAAGCCAGAACTCAACATTTCTAGATGAAAACATAAAGGGAAAAGCTTGATGACCTTGGGTTAGGCAGAACATTTCTTAGATTCTGAGGTGTTATGTTACTCCTTATGGGGAAGGTGGTGGTCGTTGTCAGCTTTTTAGGAGAGGTCAATCCCTTCTTCCCTGTGGGAAATCATAATTACAGGGCCCTGATGATAATATAAGTGAAGAAACATTTGTGACTGAGTAGCAGGTGGTATTAATGCTCACAGTCCTTCAACTAAAGAAGGCCTCTTTGCATAGTTTTATCCAAAAGACCTGTGGGGTGGCAGGGGCTCAGGAAAAAGAGTATAGCTACGTTGGAACCCTGCAATATTTTGCCAGCCCTACAGAAGTTTCAGTCGTGTTCAGATCACGAGGAGAATGGGATAATAGTTGTTCAGGGGGTGGTATCATAGAAGTGAAGGAGAAATTTCTGGATAAAGTGCATTTTGAAAGCAACTATGTCACTCTTTAGTGTTATCTCGTGTAGCCCAACCCTTGGCTGGTAAAGAATGTGGTTAATACAGATGAGAGGTCCATTGTGAAGTCAGAGTTTCATGTCTGTTGGGTCAAACTCACTCAGACAATGAAGTAGGAAAGCAGACTCAATTTTTTTTGGTTTTGAGTGTTTAATAACTACCACTTGCTGAATTAGAAATCATGAGGTCTCAAAAAACATTCCACATAAAGTCTTAGAATTGCTTATATAGTTGCATTCTTTGTTTTGAATATCTAAAAGGTTAACTTCTTTACTTTGCTGTGAACTGTGTAGGTCCAGAGGCTGATTTTTATCAATATTCCTCTGTGTACCAGGGACTGTGCTAGCCATCCACTTTATACGGTGTGCCCCTAAGACCGGAAACGGAAGGGCGAAAGGAAGAGAGTACGGATTCAGTTCCTGTAAGGGGGCCCTCCGTGAATCTCTTACAGACAGCCGGGACTGGAAATCTTGTTTGCTGTCTCCTGGTCATCGCTGCTCCCAGTCCCAAGTTTTCAAACACTACAGAACTGGACCACAGCTTCCTGATTTTACCTTCCCATCTCTAAAGCATTTCACATTTGAAGCAGATGCCTGCCCCAGCGTTTACTATAGCCACCATAATGCCATGATGACGCCCTAGGACAACACCGAGGATGGTGTCTGAACGTCTGTTGTGACGTTTTATCCCGATCAGTTAACCTGCCCACGGAGTTCTTAGCTGTGTTGTAAGACCCAAAGCTCTGGTTATCTCTTGTTGGGTAACATATCACCCCCAGAACTTCATGGCTTAAGACAATAATTGTTTATTTGACTCTCACATCTGCAGTTTGCGCAGGGTGCAGGAAGGAAGGCTTGTTTCTGCCCCATCTGGTGGCATCTAGGACAATAAACTGGCACCTGAGGATCCTCTTCTAAGATGGCTTACTCACGTGGCTGGTTAAGTTGGTACGAGCGTGTGCCTGGGAGGTTGGTTAGCAACCTCAGTACCTCTCCCCCCTGGGCTGCTTGAGCCTCCTCACCTGGAAGCCAGGTGGCAAGCATGAGTATTCCAATAGACAGGATGTGGGAGCTACCAGTCTGTTAAGGCCTGACCATCATCACTTCTGTCACTTTCTACTGTCAGGCAGAGTCCTCCCAGATCTGAGAGGAATCTTCTTTTTTTTTTTAAGATTTTATTTATTTATGTTTAGAGAGGGAAGGGAGGGAGAAAGAGAGAGAGAAACATCCTTGTGCGGTTGCTGGGGGCCGTGGCCTGTAACCCAGGCATGTGCCCTGACTGGGAATCGAACCTGCGGTGCTCTGGTTTGCAGCCCACGCTCAATCCACTGAGCTACACCAGCCAGGGCTGAGAGGAATCTTCTTGATGGGGAAAGTGTTAGGCGGAGGCCATCTTTGAATGACCACATCCATTCATTGTTGACTCAGACAAACTCACCAGCCTTCTTATTTAGGGATCAGTCAAGATCCTTTGTCTGAAGAGCCACATGGATGCTGCCTTCTGCCCACAGTTTTTTCAAAGTCCTAGAATAAAGATCCTAGAATAAAGATCAGCCGTGATCCTTTTTAGGAGAAGCAGGAATAGCTTTGGGAAAAAGTTGCCATGGTAATAGGATTCTCTGTCCTCCCCTGGACTTCTAGTCATATGGGGATTGGGGTTCCTCGGGAAAACTAGGCCAAAGAGGCTGAAGTTCGGTGATAAACAGTTATCACACCAGGAATTGGCAAACTTTATGTCCAGATAGTGAATAGTTTAGGGTTTGCTGGCCCTGTCGTCTCCCTAGCACCGTACCGTTCTGTAGGCTGGAAGTGCAGCATGGGTCCCTGCATTCTTCCTGGAGGTGCTGGGGGTGGGGGGAATCCATTCCCTGGCCTTTCCCAGCTTTTAGAAGCTGCCCGCAGTCGTTGACTCTCGGCCCCTTCTTCCATCTTTAAAGCCGGCAGTGAAGTATCTCTCTGACCCCACTTTAGTCTTCACATCTTTCTGTGACCTCTCCTGTCTCCCTCTTCCATTTGTACGGACCCCATGATGGCATTGGTCAACTAGAACAATCCAGAATAGTCTCCGTATTTTAAGGTCAGCTGATTCCAGCTGCCCTTCATTCCAGCTGCCACCTTGCCATGCAAACCGACAGATTTCAAAGGTTCAGCAGATGACAGAAATGTCGCTAAATAGGCCATCGTTCTGCCTACCCGTCATTCTCAGCCCGGGGGCTGCAGATGGCTGGCCCGTGACGCTATGTAGCGCCGTGACTTCCAAATTGACTTCATCCCAGGGGTGACGCGATGTTCACAAGGGAATTCCATTTTGCTCCTTCACCCTCGAAGACAGGAGGCAGTGCATAGAGTTCCATCTGTCCCTCTCATCCTGACAGGTTGGCACTGAACTGTTTTTCTCCCTAGTTGAGCACCTGCAAGAACAGGACCCACGTGCTCTTACCAAAACTCACTTCCAGGTCGTGTCAACTTGGAAAACTTCACGTTTGTCTTCTCATCTACCTGAGGCTGGGTAGAAGCTTCTCTTGATTCAGATAGGCTCCTATATGGTCTCTCGAATGTCCCTTGTGTTTACATTTTCTTTAGAAATGGGCTCTTTTCATAATAACATTGAGTATACATGGCTTCTGGTAGCAGGAGGCCGGATAAAAGTAAATACATGCCTCACTTGCGATTTTAAAATAAGATTCAATGGCTTTGTTTTTGGGGTGTGCCTTTTATTTACAGTCACTTCTGCAAGGTGGCAAGTGCATTTTTTAAAATCATCACGCAATGCAAAATTGTACAGTAAAAACCACAGGGCTTATGAGAAGAATGGAGTTAGGGACACAATACTAAAAAACTTCCTTTGTGATTTTTTTTTAAAAAGATGGAAATATAATAAAAATGGTAAAATGCTTTTACACGTATTACATGTTCAAAAAACACATAAATGCTACAATAAACATGGTACTTTCTGGTGAAAAGGACCTGCAGGTTGCTTGCTAAAGTGGTTCTTGGAAGGGTTGGAGCTTGAGTTGTGAGGAGTTCAAAGGGGGGTGACCAGAAAGGCTGGGGAGCCCTGGCAGGTGGGGCTCAGTGGATTGAGCACCAGCCTGCAAACTGAAAGGTCACCTGTTCAATTCCCAGTCAGGGCACACACCTGGGTTGCCAGCCAGGTCCCCAGTAGGGGGTGCGTGAGAGGCAACCACACATTGCTGTTTCTCTCCCTCTCTCCCTCCCTTCCCCTCTCTAAAAATAAGTAAAATATAAAAAAAGAAAGGAAAAATGCTGGGCAAAGTTGTGACAGCAGATGTGGGTGGGTGTGGCTGTTGTGCTCCAGAGGGGGCTGTGTCTGCAGACTATTTCTTAGCGTCTCCACTTTATCTTCTGCATTCTCATGGGAAAGCAAATGCAGAATTCCTATTATGCTCAAATTGCTTCCAACATGCTCAGATTGTTTCTCATACATCAATGACCAGGGGAAATTTGGCCTTTTTGAAAACAAACGTTTAAGCAGAGCTGACACTGTCCTCGATTCTCAGCAACACCCGGAAGGACCAGCCTGAGCACGTGGCGCGAGTTAGCCCTGCTTCCGTGGAAAGGACGTGCCAGCCATGGGCAGGTTGGCTCTCAGGTTGAACATGCAGGCTTCCGTCCCCCAAATTCAGCAATTTCCCAGCATGCACTGTTGAGAGACTTTCAAAGCTCCTTATTTACTCTTCTCAGGAAGCTAGTGGAAGGTGCCAGTCAGCAAAACAAGGAAGTACACCAAGAAAGAGCACAGAAAGTGGGAAATGGTTTGGGGCAGAGGGAATCCCTGGGGGCAGCAGACGACGCCAAAAGGGCCCAGGTCAGACGGCCCTGGGCAAGTTGAGGCAGGGTGATGAGGTGGAGATAGCACTTGAGGTCTCTGACCTTGTGGGATTCTGTTAGCCACGTGTTTAGGCTGGATTTTGTATTCGGCACTTAGAAAACTTAGCAGATGAAAAGATGAATTTCCTCTAGGGAAAACAACCCCCCAAAACATTGTGCATAAAAGGGAAATACTATAAACTTTGCTTGAAGCTTACTAGATGGGCTCAACTCTGCTCAGCATTTCTACAGTAAAAATGTAGCACTCATATTTGGGTAGAATATTGATCGATATTGGGATGATGGCCCGGCGAGGTGGGGCGGGAGCTGCATACCAAGTGGGTGATGGGACAGAGAGGAAGTAGAGAAATAGAAAAATCCTTATTTTCATAGTGAGGAGTCTTATATGGTGGCTAGAGCAGGAAATCAAGAGGAAGCCATACAAACATTAGCTGGAGGCTTGAAGATAAATGTCAAAAAACCTTATCAAGTGTTGAAATTGGTCGCCTCTGGGCTGTTGGTTCTAAGCCTTACAGAATGATTTGACTTTTTAAAGCAATGTGCATATGTGACTTTCATAAACATAAATAATTAAATATCATATTTAGCAGGAAAGAGTTAACACAGCAGGACCAAGACAGATTTCTAAGAAGCACATAAGGTCGCCTCACACATGAGAAAGGCCTGCTTGGAAGGTGGCCCTCGCCTGGTCTCTAGGAACTTAGCTTCAGCTGAGGTTCCCTCCATTCGTTCCCTGATAGGAAGGGCTCACTGCGTGAACGGTGTGGTTAATGCCGAATGCCTGGGAATCTGGGATTTTGGTACGTGCCAGGCAGATGGTGCCTGCATGACCAGCCCCCCAATCAAACCCCGAGTCTCTTAATGAGCGTCCCTGGTACACAGCAAGCACTTCACATGTGTTATCACAGCTCATTGCTGGGGGACTTAAGCTCCGCCTGTGTGACTCCACTGGGGACGACCCTCAGGAGCTTGCACCTGGATCCGCCCTGCGCGCCTTTGCCCCCAGCTCATTGTGCTCCGTACCCTCTCGCTGTAATTAATACACCACACCCGTGAGTACACCTGTCTGCTCCATCCTGGCTAGGCATCAAACCTGGGGGGTCCTGGGGCCCCCACACAATAGAAATATGCTTGAGGATTCACGGCTGCCGTTTTTTTCTTCTCCAAGCGTGGAGATTGGTGAGAGCGTGCGAGGGGAAGATGTCTACATCATCCAGAGCGGCTGCGGCGAGATCAACGACAACCTGATGGAGCTGCTGATCATGATCAACGCCTGCAAGATCGCGTCGTCCTCCAGGGTGACCGCCGTGATCCCGTGTTTCCCGTACGCACGCCAGGATAAGAAGGACAAGGTAGGAAGGCCATGCGCTGTTGGAGGGCCCTGCTCTGGGTTCCTGTCACCTCTTCTTTGTTCTCACGGTACCTTAGGATATCTAGAAAGTGTTTGCCTTCTATTTGAATGATTGAGTAACCATGCTTTTTCACCTTGGCTTTTTCAAAGGGTTGTCTTTGAGCCAGCCATCATGTTCATATGGACAGACAGAGGACCAGTGAAAGCACAATATTTTTGCAGGTCTTAAAACACCATTGCCGCCCTGGCTGGCGTAGCTCAGTGGATTGAGTGCGGGCTGCGAACCAAAGCATCACAGGTTCGATTCCCAGTCAGGGCACATGCCTGGGTTGCAGGCCACGGCCCCCAGCAACTGCACATTGATGTTTCTCTCTCTCTCTCTCTCTCTCTCTCTCTCTCTCTCTCTCTCTCTCTCTCTCTCTCTCTCTCTCTCTCTTTCTCCCTCCCTTCCCTCTATAAAAATAAAATAAATTAAAATCTTAAAAAAAAACATTAAAAAAATACCATTGCCATCCCACAGAAGTGATTTTCCACCTTTTCTACCTCATGGTACACTTAAATTGTAAACTTGCTGCAACACACCAAAAAATACATTTTTGCTGAAAGAAAGGTAGAATTTTGGTTCATTCACAGCGGTGGCTGCTGTTGTGTTGGCCCTTGTCATTTTTTTTATTTGACAGACTAAGGGAAAAGCGGCCAGCGCCCCCTGACTGAATAGTCAGGTACTGCATGTTGTACAAATTCTGTGGCATGCCAGTTAAAAGTCGCTATTCCATAGGGATGAAATGGTTGGGCATCTTTGTGCTGGTGGATAAAACTAAGTACCCACTCACACTCACACCCACCCAGTGAGCACAAAAACCAGGGTGGGGGCGAGTGAGAAGCAGGTCACTGGGCTGTATCAGCGCCAGTATCCTGGCTGAGATACTGGACTATAGTTTTTCAAAATGTTATATACCATGAGGAGAAACTGGCTGAAGGATGAGCATCATTTCTTATCATTATCTCTTTTTAACCTTTCAAGAGAATGAAGCTAATGTCTATGAATGATTCTTTTAGTAACACTAGCTCAATAGGAGTGGCCTTGGGGAAAACCCAGACAAGTTGGAGTTGAGGGGAACTTTAAAGGGAATTGTATCAGTTTCCTAGGGTGGCGGTAATGAATTAGCACAAATTGGGTGGCTTAAATAAAAGAACAGAAATGTATTGTTAGTTTTCCCATTCTGGAGGCCAGAGGTCAGTGGGCAGAGCCTGCTCTGAGGATGTTAGTGGGGAGCCTTTCTTGCCTCTTGTGGTTTCCAATGGCTCCTGGCAATCCTTGGCTTCTAGAAGCATCACTCCCATCTCTGCCCCTGTCTCCGCGTGGCCTTCTCCCCTGTGTCTCTTCGCCTGTCTTAGAAATGGATGGTCGTCGGACGTACGGCCCACCCTAATCCAGACCGATCTCATCTTGCTCTTTCCCTTCGTTATCATCTGCAAAGACCCCATTTCCAAGTGAGGTCACATTTTGAGGTTCTGGGCGGACGGGAGCTGTGTGAGGTACCATTCAGCCCACCGCAGGGATCCACTCTTAAGCTGTTTTCTGCTCTACATCTTAGGAATGGCCGTTCCATCAGGTTCCACGTGAATCCTCCCAGTTCATAAGACACCCTGCTATTCTGTCATGCGGTGACTGATTGTGAGAAAGCTTTTCCCTGGCACACCTCCATTTATCTTCGTAGTTCATTTTGTGAAACAGCGCAAGTTTGTAGAACAGCCACAAGATCCCCTCGTGTGTGAAAACATTCCCTTTCCAAGTTTGAAGTCATATACCAAGGTGGTGTGGTTTCCAGAGCCCGTGCCAAACACAGCTTAGTTCATTGGTTCCTGAAATCTTTTTTAAACAATTTTATTTATTTATTTTTAGAGAGAGAGGGAGGGAGAGAGAGAGAGAAACATCAGTGTGTGGTTGCTGGGGGCCGTGGCCTGCAACCCAGGCATGTACCCTGACTGGGAATCGAACCTGTGACGCTTTGGTTTGCAGCCCACGCTCAATCCACTGAGCTACGCCAGCCAGGGCTATGTTCCTGAAATCTTGATCTCAGGAACACCGTTCTGCACTTGACATACGGTTTACAATATACAGATTAGAAGGGGTCAGCAACCTCTTTCTGTAAAAGGCTGTGTGGTGTCTGTGGCAACTACCTAGCTCTGGCTATGTATCAGACAGAGACAATAAGTAAATGACTGGCGTGGCTGAATTCCAACAAAACTTGTATTTACGGACACTGCAATATGAATTTCGTATAATGGTCACATGCCATTGAAGTGTTCTTCTTTTGATTTTATTCCAGCTCTGTGGTCATGTAAAAGCCATTATTAGCTCACTAGCAATACAAAGACAAGTGGCTGGCCTGATCTGACCCGTGGGCCGTAGGGTGCGGACCCACCCCGCATTACAGCATCCGTTGCTTGCGTGTGCATCCATCACGTCGTGACTTAGCTTTAGCTCAGGGCCACCAAAACGTTAGGTCACATCTGCTGCTGTGAAGCGTATGACCACCCACATGTTATTTATGGAGCTTCTCTTATTCTAAACTTGATTTGCAAGTTTTATGTGCATTTTTAGCTGCTAAATTTCAGTCTTTTACTTTGTCCCATCCGTGTGAACTGTTGTTTCAGCTGTTCCTCTTGTCTGTGTTTCCATGGCATGGGGTAGCATCTCGTCCTTGTCCTTGTCCTAAAGGAACTAATATTCTGCTGCTCCGTCTTCACCAGGTAGCAACAGGGTTAGGGAAATGTATATTCTGTTTATTCTGTAATTTGCAGTCAGGTTCTCCTTTCACTTCTAGTAGCTTTTGCATTTAGGGCGAAGATATTTGATCATCGTAACTTCTTCCGTAAATGATTCCTTTATCATTACAGGGCCCTTTCCCACTGAGATTTGTAAACTAACTTCTCCTATAACTGATAGAAATACTGAGACTCCCACATTCTTGGTTTGCAAGTATCTGATTTGCCACTGTTTCCAAGGTTTTGTGTTTTCAAGCTTTGTTTCTTAATGCATTCGTAGTGCATTCTTGGTTATTTAGAGGAGCCAGCACTGGCTGGTCTCCTGCCGCACAGGGGATGCGATGTGCTCGTGACCTCTGACCTCCAACGGCCAGCAGTGCCCCTTGCCCCTGTGCTGTCCAAAAGAGCCCCACAGAATTCTGAAAACCCCGGTGGGTTTAGCTGTTCCGTGGATCTGTGTCACCTGACTGGCGCTCTATTCTTTTTCCCGTCACAGGACGTGTAGACAGGTTTGCCATTTGGGGCCATCGCAAGCACGTGTTCCTTCCGTCCCCTCCACCCTTTCTTCACCACTGTGCTGTACTCACGTGTGTTTCACATTAGAGAAACTGATGAAGGAATCGTGGGGGGCCGTATGAATTGCCCGTTGCTACCACAATGCATTGCCACAAACTGGGCGGTTTGAGACAACAGAAGTATATTATTCCCTCGCACTGCTGAGGCCAGAAGCGGGAAATCAGGCTGGGGCGGCGCTCCGTCCACAGGCTCCGGGGGTGGGGGGGGCTCCTTCCTGGCCCGTTCCAGCTTCTCTGGCTTGAGGCCTCATCACTCCACCCTCTGCTTCCGTGTTCACATGGCCTTCTCTTGTCTCTGTCAGACCTCTCTCTCTCTTTTTTAAAAGATTTTACTTATTTTTAGAGAGGGAAGGGAGGGAGAGAGAGAAACATCATTGTGCGGTTGCTGGGGGCCGTGGCCTGCAACCCAGGCATGTGCCCTGACTGGGAATCGAACCTGTGACGCTTTGGTTCGCAGCCCGCGCTCCATCCACTGAGCTACGCCAGCCAGGGCTAGATCTCTCTCTTTAAGGGTACGCGTGGTAGCCTCCCGGCCCTGCAGGATAATTGCCCGATCTTAGAACTCTTCCTATAATCACATCTGCAGAGACCTTCTTTCCAAATAAGGGAACAGTTACCCAGGTTCCAGGGATGACGACCTCATGTTTCTGGGGCCACCGTTCAGCTCACACACTGCAGGGCCCGTTCAAGGAAGTCGTTAACGTGTTGATAAATGGCCATTTTAAAGATAATTCAAGCTTGAGGTAGTGGCGTTATTATATCATTTATCATCTAAGCCAGCGCATTTGAGAGCTGGAAAGGAGCTCCGTGAGTAATTACGCCAGGAAACAAGTGTCCACCCTGGCCTTCCCAGGTGTGTCTGACATATGGCCACCCTTTTCCAGGCGTCTGGCTTTGGGACTGCCCTTGGGGCTGGCCATGACGTATAGATTGTTCTGGCACTATTATTTCTGCCAAGTCCGTATAGTCAGTGTGCCTCGTATTAAAACAATTGCAGAGACAGTTCCATTCTTTCACCAAGCTGGTCAAAAGGGAAATCCTTCATGTTGGCTGGCATTTCAGGTATGGTGTGCCTTTGTATTTTGTTTTTTTTTAACTGGCTGCTAATAGCTGTTAATAATTGTTCTACCCATTTCCTAGGTCCAGTGGATTGCCTTTGTATTGGGAAACTGTATTGAAGTGGGGTAACAGGTAATTAATTGATCTGCTTCGGAGCCCCAAAAAAGCTGGAGCCTTTGAACCATATCCAAAGCTTGTTTCATCATTTCGGACCTCACTGGTCCCTTTTAAGCAAGTCCTGTACGTCTGCAAATTTTATTTTTGATTTTGTTTATGTGTGCAAGAGACCAGGGACGAGTTCTGACAGTGAAGGAAGGGGCTCATAAATCGGATGCTTCAGCACGATGCAACACTACCACGGGGAACGGTCACGCTGCAGTATCCACTGTAGAATTTGTGGTGCAGCATGGTCTGAGCTCTGGGGTGCCACCTTCGGAATTGGGCGGACTCGGGCCTGAATTTCAGTGCCATTATTTTCTGGGTTCATCCTTCATAAAAGTAGCTTAAACTCCTTGTGCCTTTAGCTTCCTCATCTGTAGATTCAGAATAATATTTGCTACTATTTATAAAGTGCTTAGTAGAATCCCCCCCACACACACACACACAAAAATGTGTCCTTTTTTTTTTAATCCTCACCTGAGAACATGCTCATTGATTCCAGAGTCAGGGGAAGTGGGGGCGGGGAGAGAGAGGGAGAGAAACATCGATGTGAGAGAGAAACACCAGTCAGGATGTTGATGCTCTTGTATGCTCCCAACTGGGGACCAAATCTGCAACCTGGCCACGTGCTCCAACTGGGAATCAAACCTGCAACCTCTCGGTCTAGGAGACGATGCTCCAACCAAATGAGCCACACTGGCCAGGGCCAGGTGTCAAGTTTTTTAGGCTTTGTGGACCACTGGGCAGAGACAAATGGCTCGGCTCCACCATTTTCACATGAAAGCAGCCATATATCATGTGTCAGTGAAGGGGCGTGGCTGTGTTCCTCTAAACCTTTATGGACGTAGCAATATGAATTTCATGTACTTTTCAAATGTCACAATATACTCTACTTGTTTGGATTATTTCTTAGCCACTTAAAAATGTAAATTCCATTCTTAACTCACAGGTTGTACAAAACCACACCACAGGCCAGGCCTGGCCCACAGAGCTCTGTTCGCTGATACCTACTCCAGGGGACACTCAGTAATTGCTAGTTTCTCTTCCCAGTAAACGCAGTATGACATGTTCCAGCCAGTGTGGTTCAGTTGGTTGGGCATCTTCTGGCAAATTGAAAGGCCACCGTTTTGATTTGTGGTCAGGGCACGTGCCTAGGTTGCAGGTTTGCTCCCTGGTTGGGGTGCGTGCGAGAGGCAGCGATCAAATGTTTCTCTCTCACATCAGTGTTTCTGTCCCTCTCTCTCTCCCTCCCTTCTCCTCTCTCTAAAATCAAAAATTTTAAAATAAATAGTAAATTTAAAAAGTAGTAGGACATGGGGGCAAGACTGCAAAGAATTACTTCGGAGGTGATAGAGGACTTGTAGCTTTTCCCCCAAACTATTTTCAAGGTTCCGTTCTCTTTTCAATGAAATTGTTTCTTTTTACTTCTTTTTTTTTAAAATATTTTATTTATTTATTTTTAGAGAGGGAAGGGGAGAGAGAGAGAGAGAGAGAGAGAGAGAGAGAGAGAGAGAGAGAGAGAGAGAGAGAGAGAGAACATCAACGTGTGGTTCCTGGGGGCCGTGGTCTGCAACCCAGGCATGTGCCCTGACTGGGAATCGAACCTGCAACACTTGGGTTTGCAGCCCACGCTCAATCCACTGAGCTATGCCAGCCAGGGCTTCTTTTTACTTCTTAACTGAAGAAAATTGAGGACCATTGTTTTGATTTGAATTTCTCCAATCTTGTCTATTTTTCAAGGTTGTCAAATGTATACTTTCAGCAGGGCGGCATCTGATACGCTGCTTGAGGCTTGAAATAGCCAGAAAGTCTTTATCACGGTTGGGCTGGCCCACGAAACCTTTGACCTTTATCCGTGTCTCATTAGGGTAGTTCAACGTTTTATTTTTGATTACTGTACTTTGACTCTACCTTTGTTGAAATGTCAGGCTCATTTTCCTTTTTATTGGCTGTGAAGTCAGCTAACTTGTAAATCATTTTTCATGCAAGATTCAGCTGGGCCTTGAGCCAAAGGATGAAACAGTGCTAAAACCAAATTTGTAAACAAGGTCCTGTGGTTTGGATCTCAGAAGGACAACGTGCTCGACATAGCGAGGGCAGGGACCAGAGGAATCTTCCTGCCGGCTAGAAACTTGTAGGGAGAGTCCCGAATTGACTAGTGTTGTGAGTCAGACTGTATTACAAAGAAGCTTCAGTAATCAATTGATTCTTTTAGCTATTCTGCAATTTTGGTAAACTAAGGAAGTCTCACAGTCCGTGAGGCTAATGATGAAGCCTTGGAAACTTGCTGTTAACAGAGATTCTATTAGGAGGTAATTATCAAAGATAAGCATCATATGCAAGGTACAGAGCTGTGTGCTGTAGATGACGTGGAAAGTCTCCAAACCCAGTTCTTTGTCCTTGAGGGTCTAGTTGTGAACCCTGACATCCATATATATAGATGTTGTCCTCCCATCAGTCTTTCAGCAGATGGTCCCAGATGGTGGGGAGGCCCAATGCTGCCAGTGCCATGTCCCCTTAGAAGGGACAGATCCTTTCTTTCTGGAGTTCTCAGAGTGCCTTCAAGTTTGGAGACCTGAACCGGCTATGGAGGATCAAACAAGTTGGCTGAGCAGAGACGGGGTGAAATGCAGGTGCGGTGGGCGTATGGCTGTGATGGCACTTGAAATGTCCCCCAGAAGAGACCGAGCAGGCCCAGGACAGACTTCAGGGAGGACCCTTGTGGCAGAGGGACATGTGCGGGAGGACCAGCTCTCAGTAGCAAGAGCTAGACTGGCCCACGGGCTTCTTATCCCAAAGGTAGCATGGAACAGAACAGGGGAGTGAACGGTGAAAATGTGCATGATCATAGGTAGTTAGTTGAGAAGGTTGAAAAATTTTTTTAAAATGAGAGAAATATTAGCCCTGGCTGGCGTAGTTCAGTGGATTGAGCGCAGGCTGCGAACCAAAGTGTCGCAGGTTCGATTCCCAGCCAGGGTACATGCCTGGGTTGCAGGCCATGACCTCCAGCAACCGCACATTGATGTTTCTCTCTCTCTCTATGTCCCTCCCTTCCCTCTCTAAAAATAACTAAAATAAAATCTTTTAAAAAAATGAGAGAAATATTTTTCCCATAATCTCACTATCTAGAAACATTGCCTATTAACATTTTGGGGCGTTCCCTCTAATTCTTTGCGTATTGAAAAGAAATTTGTGTGTGTGCGTGTATTTGCATATGTATATATATTACCTTAAAGTAATGTTTCCTTTTTTAAAAAAAAGAATGGTATGTTAGCATACAAATTACCTGTTAACGTCGTAATGTAATTCCTTTCTGTGTGTTTTTAGCTGAATATACTCTGTGTGTGTGTGTGTGTGTGTGTGTATTTAACAGGAATCATTGATTTTTACTATTGCAAATGAACTCTCTTTTCACCTTTATTGAGCTATAAATGGCATATAATGCTGTGGAAGTTTGAATAAAATGTTTTAACCTTATATTTCCTTTGTGGCTGGTATATAGGAATGCTATTGTTCACAGCAAATTGCTGAACTTCTTTCCTAGGTCTAATCATGTCTGCGTAGTCTCTTGGATGTTTTTCTTTTTGATGCAGACAGAGTTATTGTGCATAATTTGTGATGCGGAAGCTGCAGCTGTGGAGAAGTTAGGTCACTCGAAGGCAGTAAATCACAGCGCACCCACTTCTGTAAATAGGAAATTCTCCATCCCTGTAAGGTGTCCTTTCTTCGATCTGGTTTTTGTGTGATTTCTAACACTGAGCGTTGGCTCCCAGCTGCAGAGCGCAGCCTCCTGTTTAAACAGCCGGCCTTGGCTGGAGGTGGCCCTGCGTCCCCGCCCGGCGTTCACACTCTCCCCCGCAACACTGCCTGTGACCAAACTGGACTTCGTTCGTGCAGTTCCTGGGCGTGATCTCTCGGCCCGGGCCGTGTCACACGTGACGCTCTTTCTGGAGCACTGGTCTCCCTGCCTCTGGCAGCCTGCACAGCGGATTCCTCAGACGGCCTCTGCGCATGAGCCCCTTTAAACTTTGTGTCCTCCATGCTAGTGTCTATCTCAGTACCTCCTCTTCTACACGCTTGTCCTGATTTGAATTAGTCTGATCATGATATTACACGTAAATCGTTTGTTGGCTGCTTTGACATTTGTTCTCCATACCCAGTGTTGAGCCTTGTGATAGTATGTGTAAATAGGAAATATTTGGTGAACAAAATGAAATGAATACTTGTTGTTAAAACATGTAATTTATGCCCTGGCTGGCGTAGCTCAGTGGATTGAGCGCGGGCTGCGAACCAAAGCATCTCAGGTTCGATTCCCAGTCAGGGCACATGCCTGGGTTGCAGGCCATCACCCCCAGCAACCACACATTGATGTTTCTCTCTCTGTCTCTCTCTCTCTGTCTCTCTCTCTCTCCCTTCCTTCCCTCTCTAAAAATAAATAAATAAAATCTTTAAAAAAACATGTAATTTACTATTGCCAAATAGTGTAGAGTAATTAATTTTCTTTATTCACATGTTATAGATCAGCTGTGATTTATCTTTTTCATGTCAACCTCGGTGGGAGGAATCCGAAGGTACCTGTCTCTTCCCAGCTCTTTCCCTGTCATAAAATCCGTGTCTTTATATTTCAGAGTCGTGCTCCGATTTCTGCAAAACTCGTGGCCAATATGCTCTCGGTCGCCGGGGCAGATCACATCATCACCATGGACCTGCATGCCTCTCAGATCCAGGTTCTGGCCCTTTCTTTCTTGCCCTCGGTTGTGATTGGGGGCTCCGTGCAGGCGCTTAAATCCTGCTCGTTGTGAAGTGACATACTTTTCGAAGGAGGAGGTAACGTGACTTGGGGTTGGTTCTTCCCCTTGACTGAACTTGGAAATGCAATGTCACGTTGATATCGCCCGTCTCCGCCACCCCCTTGTCTCTAGTCAGTTTTGGGGGGTGGGAATATCATCCGGGCAGTCCCCACCAATAAGAGATGGAACTAAAATATTTTGATTTAATTCTGTTAAAACTAAGGAAAGGGAATCTGTTGAAAAGGCTTCCTTTGAATAAAAAAAAAAACCCTCAAGTTTTATGTAACGAAAGATCATCTTTTCCAAAGCCCTGCCGTGTGACGCTCACTTCTCTCCACAGGGCTTCTTTGACATCCCTGTGGATAATTTGTACGCGGAGCCCGCGGTCCTGCAGTGGATTCGCGAGAACATCACCGATTGGAGGAACTGTATCATCGTTTCCCCGGACGCGGGTGGAGCCAAAAGGTAGGCACTGGCGACACCGGGCATGCTTCTGCATTTGCTGATCGCTTTGGCCCTTTCTTGTGTATTGGATAAGGAAACATGTTTGAAATTCCTTAATACTTGATTTTGCAATTGAGCCAATAAGGAGCCAGCAGGCTTTATCTCCAGAACAGAGTGCTGTCTTCTTTGTCAACATTTCATCAGTCATGACAGAGAAAAAAATTCATACACACACAAGTATCTGTTTTCAGCAAAGAGGATATTTCGAGGTTTTTTAAGTAATTTTTTTTCCTGATTATAAAAGGAAAAGCCTAATTGGAAGATGAGGCTTTTAATTAGCAACATGATCGACTAAGCTGGTCTTTCCTACTATAAGCACTTGGAAATGATAGCCAAAATAGAATCTGAAAAATAGAAATATACAGTCATACAACACCAGTATAGCTCCTCTTTCTCCAAGAGAGAAAGGGAGCTGTCCAGGGCTAAGAAATGAAGAAGGGACAAAAGCCGTACTTGGGTGGCCTGGGGGTCAGGTGTCAAATCCAGGAAGAGGAAGGTGACTGGGGTGTTAGTACCCACGTAGGTGCTTCCAGAGAGGATGGGGGTGAAAGGGTAACTTCTCCCCTGCAGCCCAGAAGGAAAGCCAGGCTTCACCAGCACCTTTGAATGGGGGGGCGGGCATAGGCACCTGTGAGACATCAGAGCAAGGCCTGTGCCATGTGTCACTGTGCGGTGGGTTAGCCTCTGTCCCCGTGGGGCGGGAACCCCTATGCTGAAAAGATTCCCATTAAAATCGGTCCCAGACTGCAAAGCCACTGCAGGCGGACAGTTCCACAGGCTCAGCTGCTCAGGAGGTACTCACTGCTGAAGTCCACCTAATCATGCCTGCTGATCCAGGTCACCGGGCCACAGAGAGCCAGCGCCACGGGGTGACAGAGCAGTTACTAGCCATAACGTAAGTTGGACAGAGAGACTGACGTGGCGCTGACAGCATCAGAGTGTGGGCACACTGAGTGGCATAGGAAAACTGTAGGAGCAGCAAATCCGGGGCGCTTTGCAGAGACTGGAGGAATTAAGGAGCAGTAGCTACAGAGCGCTGTACTGCAGGTGGGGCATGGTGACTCACTCAAAGTGACCTTGTAGAACTATGCGCCTGCCCTCTGGGAAGGAAGAAAAAGTGGAATGGAGTTTTAACACCTGGGTAGATGCCTGGAAGGAGAGGTGCAAGAGACCTCTCTGTCCAATCGTGCTGTAAGAAAGCAAAGAGCTAAATTATGCCGTGAGAGACCTGTGACCATCAGGCTTTAGGGCATCTTTAAAATGTAAATGCCCACCCCTCTTTTGGCTCCCTCATCCACCAATGGCCCAGCTAGGGACCTAGAATTAAACTTAAAAGCTGCGGAATAACCCAGAAAGTGAAGGTCCTGAATCTTACAAGAGCCCCTTAGTGCACTAAGCTACTGTTGCTAGCGCTTAGGTTCCCAGCACAGAAGAGGAGGAATAACAGGGCTCAGCTGGAGATGGATCTCTAACAGCAGCAGGAAGTGGCCACGGAAGGAGCTCACAAATATCTACAAGACAAGCAGAGAGTTCATTTGCAAGGACCCCAGCTGGGCAGCCATAGGGTGGGGAGAAGTACCATATCAGAGCCCAGCGCTGAGTGTGGTGCTCGCAAACGTGCCGCAGCCAGGCCCTCCAGGTGCAAGACACCGCGTGAGTGTTGTCTGCTTAAGCAGACGGGACTATGGGCAACATTTTGGAGTAATTCCTCGTGGCAGTGCTTGCAGTTTGCATGGGAACTTACTTAGGTCGCACGGTGGAATCCGTATCCCATATGGCAAGTCCGCGGGCTGATGGGAGGTTAGAGGTGAACAAGTGGGCCAAGGGGCTCATTAGCATGCCATGCAACTTGTGATTAATAAGCGCTTTATTGGCAAATAATTCACATACCTCAGTTGGCCCAGTTCAAGTGCACAGTTCAGTTGTTTGCAGTCTAGTCACAATTTGTGTATCCATCTAATTCTAGAACATTTTTTATCCCCCCTCCCCCCAGAGGAAACGCCATACCCATTAGCAGTCACCCCCCCATTCCCTCCTAGCCCCTGATGGTCACTCATCAGCTTTCTGTCTCTGTGCAGTTGCCTGCCTGGAAATTTGACATAAATGGAATCAGACAATATTATGTGCCTTTGTGTCAGTCGTATTCGTCCTTCTTTTTAAAAAAACAGAAAAAGCCCTGGCTGGCATAGCTCACTGGATTGAGCACGGGCTGCGAACCAAAGGGTTGCAGGTTCGATTCCTAGTTTAGGGTACATGCCTGGGTTGCGGGCCAGGTCCTCAGTGAGGGTCACATGAGAGGCAACCACACATGGATGTTTCCCTCCCTCTCTTTCTCCCTCCCTTCCCCTCTCTAAAAAATAAATAAATAAAATCTTTTAAAAAATAAATAAATAAATAAACAAACAAACAAAAAATTTACTTTGGCAGGTAATAAGCCAAAAAAAAAAAAAATAGATTCCACAAACGTTTGTTGCCTTTTCCTATCCCAACCATATATTTTAATATATAGTGTGGAGATATAGTGCTCTTAGCAAACCTTCAAACAGGATAGCATCCCCCATTTCCTTCCTTAGTGACCTCTATTCTTTCCAGTGTCCGAATTACGATATTCAAACATCTGTCTCCCTTTTATTTCATACAAATGGTGATACACTGTACATACTCCTTATGTATATACATACTCTGCTTTCATTAAAACTTACTTTACTCCACTGTTTTTTTTTATAGCTGGGTCATATTCCATTGTATTTGTATGTTATGATTCTTTTAACCACTTTCCCATTCCTCGTTCATAGACTGTTTGTACTGTCACGTGTCACTTCACGACGGAACGCGTTCTGAGAGTTGCGTCATTAGGCGATGCGTCATTGTGCGAACACAATAGAGTGCGCTTACACACGCCTAGACGGTACAGCCTCCTATACACCGGGCTGTCTGGTATAGCCTGTTGCTCCCAGGCTACAAACCTACACAGCTTGTTACTATACTGAACGCTGCAGGCAGTGGTAACACAATGGTCAGTCTGTGTGTATTTAAACATCGAAAAGGTACAGGAAGAATACAGGATGAAAGACACAAAACCGTACGCCTGTACAGGGCACTTAGCAAGAGCGGGGCCTGCAGTACCGGAAGCTGCTCCAGGTGGGGCAGCGAGGGAGGTTAGTGCCAAGAGGGCCAAGGACGCCTGTGTGCACTACTATAGTCCACTGTCCACTTACATTTACTTTAAAAATGTCTTCAGTAGTAAATTAAACATAGTGCACTGGGATGCTTTTTAATTTATAAACCTGATGGTTCTTTTTAGCTTCCTGACTCCTTTGTAATGACACTTAGCATAAAACAGACACATTATACAGGTGTACAAAAATATTTTCTTTATATCCTTATTCTATAGGGATTTTGCTATTTTTATTTTTTTTTAAGATTTTATTTATTTTTAGCCAGAGAGAAAGAGAGAGAGAGAAACATCAATGTGCGGTTGCCTCTTGAGTGCCCCCCACCAGGGACCTGGCCTGCAACCCAGGCAAGTGCCCTGACTGGGAATCGAACCAGCGACCCTTTGGTTCACAGGCTGACACTCAATCCACTGAGCCACACCAGCCAGGGTGGATTTTACTATTTTTAAATTTATTTTTTACTTTTGAAATTCTCTTGTTAAAGACTAAGACACAGAGCCCTGGCTGGCGTAGCTCAGTGGATTGAGCGCGGACTGTGAACCAAAGTGTCGCAGGTTCGATTCCCAATCAGGGCACATGCCTGGGTTGCAGGCCATGGCCCCCAGCAACCGCACATTGATGTTTCTCTCTCTCTCTCTCTTTCTCCCTCCCTTCCCTCTCTAAAAATAAATAAATAAAATCTTAAAAAAAAAGACTAAGACACAAACACACATTAGCCTAGGCCTGTACAGGGTCAGGATCACCAGTGTCACTCACTGTCTTCTGCCTCCCTATCTTGTCCCACTGGAGGGTCTTCGTCTCCTATGATGACAGTACCTTCTTCAGGAACACCTCCTGAAGGACCTGCCTGAGGCTCTTCTTGAGGAGGTGTCACTTTTTTTGGAGGCTTTTCTTGAGGAGGTGTCACTTTTTTTGGAGACATGTTTGAGGCCTCTGTTCATGAAAACCTTTCGATGCTGGGTTGCTGAGGGTAAGGTCGGGCACCCTTCCAGGCACATCTATTTTCATGAAGGTCTGTTCTTACCTTTGGCCTATTCTGTTGGCCCGAGGCCTTTTCCTTTGCGTTCTGAAGAGCGCCCATGGGCAAGAGGTCACACCTTGGGTTCTTGTGTTGGCGGGGGTGGGGGGGGTGTTCAGATACACCCCCCCCAGTTTTTTTCATTACTTCTCTTTGTGTAGTTTTATTCTCTGCAGGACTTTGCAAACATTCTTACGTAGTCCTATCTACCTCTTCACCTTTTGGTTTCTGGGTTTATAAAGGGTTCACCCTCTCAACCTTTTTCTTCTCCCATGATTTTGTTTAAGGGTTGTTCTCTTCTTTTTTAATGTCCCCATTTTTTTAACCTGCAAATTGTGTTGGAATGAAGAGTGAAATGAGATTCCAGCTCTTCCCCCACCTCCCAGCCATCTACTTGTTCCAAAACTGCTTATTAAATAACCCATCTCTCCCTTATACAAGAAACATGGACTTTTTTTTTAAGATTTTATTTATTTATTTTTAGAGAAGGAAGGGAGGGAGAAAGAGAGAGAGAAACATCAATGTGAGGTTGCTGGGGGCCATGGCCTGCAACCCAGGCATGTACCCTGGCTGGGAATCGAACCTGCGACGCTTTGGTTCGCAGCCCGCGCTCAATCCACTGAGCTACGCCAGCCAGGGCTGAAACATGGCCTTTTATGATAGGTTCCCCTATTTCTTTGCCACCTCCTTTCCCCCTTCCCCAGTGTCTGCTATAAATTATCATCCTCACATTCCTAACTCAGCTATTTCCCAACCAACAGAACAGCCTCGCAGGTTAACACGTGATACGTGCAGTTTACATTATCTGTGACTTCTTTGCTTGATGCAGAAAGTCCTATTTCACCAAAGAAAATAAATCCCTATCTCACAAACTGGAACTTTCTGCCTTAGAGAAAGCTTGGTGGCTTGACTCGTTCCTGGTCCAAAATTTAATGTCGCCACCAGAGGTCTCTCGGGTAGTTTTTGACACTTGATTGGGCTGACAGCTAAGAGCAAATAAACCTTAAAAGGACACACACCTGCCACAGCTGTGATAATCAATATTAACTAAAACTGGTACAGGGAGTTGGTGAAACTAAGGAATTCAGGATTAATTTTGATTGTTTCTGTTTTGGAAAGAATGTAAACATGTGTGCAGAAGAAATGGAAAGTAAACTGTGCATTATTTTTCTTCTAGCTTTCCCTGCTTAAGACTTCTGTGTGATGTATTGTCTCAACACTCTTTGTTAGGGTTATGTATTAAATCTCATTTGTCCACCTGCAAACGAAGAGTTGTAGCCTATTCAGGAGTAGGGATATTAAGTGGCTGGGTCTCCCGACTCACATTCCATGCTCACCCCCTGCTCCCCCAAAGCCACATAGCTCAGCTTGTTTCTCACCCTGCTGCCGGGTGCCCCCCGGTCTGCTTGCCCGTGGGGCAGCAGAGTGGGATCACCTGGCAGAGGTGTGCATGCAGGTTGTACTTGGACTTCACAGCGCCACAGGCTTAGAACTTAGGCCACAATGGTGGTGGGCCGTGGGCCGTGGGCCAGGGCCCTGCCTTGCTGAGTTCTTCCTGGCCCTTACAAACAAACCAATGCTCTAATATAGACACACGCATCGCATATAAGGTGTTCATGAGTCTCTTCTTGGGAAAAATCTGTCTTGTTTCCCGAGAAACTAGCTTTCCTGAATTAGAGTTTCTGTGGCTTATCTTTTATGAAATTGGCATATAGTTAGTAGTAAATGTTTTAAGGTGATTGTGGGGCACAGTTTTTGTCAGCATTGTAATTAATTTGTTTGCCCAATTAAAGGAAACCAGTGGTAAATAGATTTGGAAATGAAGGGTGTGAGCTCTAGAGCAATGTGGTTTCGGTCTGAGACGGAAGGATGCATGTTGGATAGCGGGAAGAAGATGGCCCTTATCACAGTAACACTTCCCTTTGCTTCAGGGACTTTGGGGATCTGAAACTGGTGTCTTCCCTTAGCTGACCTAACAGCCTTTGTCTTTAAATGGAAAATGTGGTCCCTATTTTGTTGATTGACGGGAGAGAACGAGACATCAGCCGGTTTTTCCACTTAGTTGCGCACTCACTGGCTGATTCTTCTGTGCGCTCTGACTGGGGATCCAGGCGTTGCTGTAACCATTGAGATACCCAGCAGGGCCTGGTCCTTTCTCTTCTGAAATTACTGACATTTTCATTCGTGACCACCATCTTTTGTACTTTAAAGCTAGTGTCCATTGTAGTTCTTTTCCTTCCCACAAATGAGACATTATTATTGCAGTTTTAGATAGTAAACATTTCTTTAGATTTGTCTACACGTTGACTCCTGTCTTTGCTTACCCCTCCCCCCTGCCACCATATCCCAGTGTATCTGTTATCATTTTTCTTTGCCTTGGAGTGTTACCCCAAAGGATCATTTTGAGTTACATTCTCCACTCGTGGGTTTTAACATACACAACGTGGGAATTTGGACGAATGACATGCGGGAGTGCCTACGTGCAGTTTGCCACTCTCGAGAGAGAACTAATGCCGTCCACTTAGCGTGGAGTTTGAGATAGCCACACGTCCTTCCTGTCCCCACCTGGGCGGCAGGTTAATTTTTACTCGTTATGCTGAAGGGGTAGCCTCCAGCATCCCTGTTACCCGGGGTCTCCCGTTAGGCTCAAGAGCATTGAAGTCGCCTTAGAAACCCTCGGGGCAAGAACTTAGCTGCTTGCCTGCTCCTTAGGATAACTACTTTTACATCCTCTGCTTCTGAAGATGCCTACTACCGTTCTAGCTCAGCGATGCATTCGTAAAGATAGTTCCCTCCGTAATCTAGCACTGTAGCTGTCTCCATCAGAAAGGGTGCCCGGGGGCCTACTGTGCCACAGAGCAACTCTAAAGTGTCATTTGGAAATGGAGATCTTCCTACGTGGCATCAAGGCGGCCTTGCCTTAGACCTCCTTCTCACGTATGGCCCTTGCCTGAGTAACACATGTCCCTGCTAATTTCAATGAAACCATTAAGATCTGAGAAAGGTGGCTATGGTCTTTGAGCAAGTTGGAAGCTGGTGAAATACTGGGCAAAGAAGTTATATACACAGAGCTACCATAAGACACAGTAATTCTGCCCACATGTATGCCCCAAAGGACTTGGAAGCAGGGATGCAAACATACTTCTGCGCCAATGTTTATAGCAGCAGAATGCACAATAGCCAGAATGTTGAAACAGCCCAGGTACCCATCAGCACATGAGTGGATAGGCAGAAGGGGCTATTGTATATCCTTACGATGCAACTTATTCATCCAGAACAAGGAATAAAATACTGATCTGTGCTACAGCATGGACAAGCCGTGTAAACATTGGTTCTGACTGGTGTGGCAGAGTGGCTGGGTGTCATCCCATAGACCAGAAGGTCTCCTGTTTGATTCCCGGTCAGGGCACACGCCTGGGTTGCGGGCCAGGTCCCCAGTGGGGGCACATAGGAGAGGCAACCGATAGATTTTTCTCTCTGTCATCAGTGTTTCTCTCCCTTTCTCCCTCCCTTCCCCTCTCTCCCAAAAGAAATAAAATCTTTTTGAAAAAAACTGGTAAACATGCTAAGAGAAAGAAGCCGGCTACGAAGGACCACACATTATATGATTCCATTCATATGAAAACCTCAGAAGAGGTAAATCCATAGAGATGAAGAGGCTCATGGCCGTCGTGGCCTGGGGGCAATGGGGAGTGACTGGGTTTCCCTTTGGCGTGGTGAAAATGTTCTGGAAATTAGAGGTGGTGCTTGTACAACACGATGTGCGTGCACTTAATGCCACCGAATTGTGTGCTTTAAACTGGTTGAAACGATAAATTCTGTTTTATATGCATGTTACCACAATTAAAAAATACGCTCATTGAACATTCTCAGAAGGGGGTGAGGGAGACCTGGGGTGCAGAGGCCTGCCTGCTGTCTCTTTGGTCGGAGCACCCAGGAGTGCCATTCCCGGCTGCCATCTGAGAGTGATGCGGTGAGCAGGAGCAGGACCCTGAAAAGGCACGGGGGTCACACTCTCCGTTCACTGCTCACAAAACCGCGGTGTGCGACGGTGTGTGTATCGGGCCCTCAATGTCACTTCTTCAGCTGAATTGCATAGCGATTGATTGTCATCGTAACGACTGAAATCTCCTTTCAGGGCACGTTGCATCTGTGGCATTCTTTTGTGGTCACTTTTCATCGTTGAAGCCCACTTTTCGTGGGAAAAATGCCAGGCCTGTCACCTCCTCTTTCTGGGGCCAGCTCGGCGCTTTCTGAGCTGATGGCTTTTGAGCACTCACAGTTGACAGGTGGAGGAGCCGGACTCATGATTTAGTCTCCCGAGGACTCAAATGTCCTGGAGCCCGTTTCTGTGAGCCTGCCTGTTCCGTGGCTGCATTTCACCAGGGCTTGGTCCCCCACAGCCGCACCACTCACTGCACAAATGGCAGTTTCCGAGTAACTTGCTTGAGTTCGTGCCTGGGATTTCAAAAACCACCACGCAGCACTACCAAATTGACTATCAGTTATTATCCAGTAGCTTTAGCCAGTGGGCAGGGTTCCCTGTCTTGTATGCCCAGCTGCTACAAATGCAGAGCCACGTCACTGGCCTCGCAAGCGAGACCTGATCGTTCCATTGTCTAGAGTGTGGCCGGCGACTACATTCCTAGTGGACAGCTTGAAAGCACGAGATTGTTTTATTGACCGTTTCTCACCTGCCCTTTTCATCTGCACAGGGTCACGTCCATCGCGGACAGGTTGAATGTGGACTTCGCGCTGATTCACAAAGAGAGGAAGAAGGCGAACGAGGTGGACGGGATGGTCCTGGTGGGCGATGTGAAGGACCGCGTGGCCATCCTCGTGGATGACATGGCTGACACTTGTGGCACAATCTGCCATGCTGCGGACAAGTACGGGGGACAGTTTGGGAACGTGTTAGGCTATCTGATGAAGAAGGGGAAGATGTCAGCTTTGAAAAATTAGGCCTGTTTTCCCTAATCATGGCCGTCTGCTTAGCAGTGGCATTTCAAACCAGGGGAGGTTCTAGGCACATGTATTTTCTTTGGTAGGAAGGAAACTGCGACCCTTTAAGGCCTGCTTTCCACTTTCAAGGGGGGTTTTATGAAGGGTCCGAGGAGGCGGGCCCCTGCACCTGAGCCCAGAAAGAGAGACCCCTTGCAGGCCCCCTCCTCGGGCTCTCACTGCCTTCTGTCCAGCCCTGCCTCCAGCCTTTGAAGACAGTGCAAAGCAAAGAACATAAAATCTCCCAATGATATTTTATATTGATATGTCAAAAGGGTGGTATTCAGGCTATTTGGGTTTAAACCAGTGGCTCTCAACCAAGGGCAGTTTTGTTTCCTGGGGGACATTTGACAACATCTGGAGACATTTTTGGCTGTCACAGCCCAGGGGAGGGAGGAATGGCTACAGTGCAATCCAGGGGTGCAGCACAACAAAGGATTCCCTGGGCCCAAGGCCAAGGCCAATAGACCCAGATTTAATGGCATAACAAAGCATGTTGCCAACACATTACCTTTTAAGAACCTGTTTTTGGCTACTGAATATGAATGAAATTGGTTTCGTGGTTTGCTTTATGGAACAACACTTTCCTTTTAAATTCACACTAAGGGGGGACTTTTGGTCTTCTGTTTTATAGGCTGGTCTTGGCCGGAGCTACCAAAGTTTATGCCATCCTTACCCATGGGATCTTCTCTGGACCAGCTATTTCCAGAATAAACAGCGCCTCCTTTGAGGCTGTTGTTGTCACAAACACAATTCCGCAGGAGGACAAAATGATTCATTGCCCCAAGATCCAGGTACTGTCCATTACTGCAGGCAGAGCCAAGCCAGGCACCTACCTTGGATCCCAAAAAATAGCATCTGTGTGTGACTGCTTACTAAGGGGAATGTCAGCAGAGGGTGCAGCTTCCCACGTGTGGGGTCTGACTCGTGTTTGAGCTCTGAGAAAGGCTCTGGCCAGCAGAGGTCAAAGTTAGAAATAGTAAGTGAGTAACACCACTTACTGTAGATAGAAAAAGCGGAAGAGACAGGCTGTGCTGAAACTCCACAGAATGAACCTACAACCCAACAGGCGTACCTGATCAGCCGCAGGTGAGAGTCTGCGAGCTGTGGCCCACGGGCCCAATCCAGCCTCAGTCCGGCCCATCGTGTGCTTTTGTAAATAAAGTTTTATTAGAATGCAGCCACGCCCATTAATTTGTGTATCGCCGATGGCTGTTCTCACACGACAACAACTGGCTTAGGTGTGGCCTACAAAGCAGAAAATATTTGTTCTCAAGCCCTTTACAGAAAAAGTAGTTTGCTGAACCCCGAGTTAGAATGATCATAGTTGCGCTTTTAAATGATGTAGTCACTACATTTTTCTGAAACCGAGAGAAAGAAACCTTCCATGTAATTGAATACAATTAATTTAAAAACGACGAACGCCCAAGGCAAGGATGTCTCTGGTTAACAGCAACCCTGAAAAGCTGCACTTTGAGTATCTGCACTAAAAATCTCCCTGCCAGGATCCCATAGGGCAGGGGTGTCCAACTCATTTTCTCCGGGGGCCACATCAGCCTCGCGGTTGCCTTCAAAGGGCCGAGTGTAATTTTAGGACTGTATAAGTGTAACTACTTAATAGTTAAGCGAGAGCTCGGTGCTTACTAAGCACCGAGTAGAAACTAGGTGCCACTGGGTAGAAACTAGGTGCCAGGCCAGATAAAACAAGGTGGAGGGCCGGATTCGGCCCGTGGGCCTTGTGTTTGCCACCTGTGCCTTAGGGGTTTGGTTTAACAGGCGGTAATTTGAAGATTGATCCAAAGCTGTCTGTCCTCCCAAAAGAAAATGGATACAGGTCTTGACAATAGCATATCTTGCAGGTAAAGAAATTGTAGGTTTTCTGGCTTTTATGTTTTTAATTCCACGTGACTAAGATGCCTCACTTCCCTCGCCCTGTTTCTGTGTGTTGTCATCTAGGTCATCGACATCTCGATGATCTTGGCCGAGGCGATCCGCCGGACCCACAACGGTGAATCTGTGTCTTACCTGTTCAGCCACGTCCCGCTGTAGATCCGGGACGGGAGCGCAGAGCAAGCCTGCCAGTTTCTGACGAGTGTGTTTTCATCCGATTTGTTAGCTTTAGGGCTCAGCAGTTAGACCACCAAACCAGATCTTTGTATCCACCGAGACCCGTTGTGTCCCCCTTCTATAGCTCAAGACCATTTACTTCCGGTTTGCGGGGAGAGCAGTGGTTATTTGATCTGTGAACTATCATAAATCAAAAGCATTTTTGTCATCTTGACTTGCTCTGATAGGTGACTTTTTCCTTTGCCCTGTTTTGAGGCCGCAACTTCCACATGTGTAATTGCATAGTGGAAATTCATAATTTATATATTTCAGGGTTGCCCAAGGTGACTTTAGGATAAAGACTTCTATGTATATATCAAATCATAATGCCTGTGGACATTTGAGTAAAACCCTGTATAAAATGAGCCCTTCTAAGAAAACCTTAGAAAATATATAATACCTTGAATTTTTTTTTTTAGTAGCCAGGTTTCAAATAAACCATTTTAGTTATTGTATTTGATTTGGACCAAATTTTTTGTACTTGAGGATGGCCACTGATACATTTCTGAGTAAATATTAGACGTATCAGAGGCCATTTAGCTCCAAATTGTTTTTATTACCACTTCTGAAACACGTTTTATAACGCTCACCTGCATGAAATGTCGTGTTCTCAAATTCCAAAATGAGTTCGATGATAGATCTGCTTTGGAACCCGTTTTTGAGATAGTCTCTGCACTGTCACGTTCTTGCCCGCCTCTGTCCGCCCCAGACGGACTGTTCTTTGGGTGCCATTTGTCCCGTCATCTCATTTAGGTCACGTTTCCAGCTGTAGCTTTGACTTAGCCTTTTTCCAATAATTTCATGTTGTTGATTTCCACCTAAACAAAAACTCCTAAGTCCCCTCAGATTGATGAATCTGATCATAATTTGGCCTTTCACATAAATAAAAAGGTGTATTTTTTTTGTACTTTATACTTAATGCATATTTACGTTTCATTAGTTTTGACTTTTCGTGTTCATCGGTTTTTTGTAATGAGAAGTAGCGAGTCTAGGCAACTGATTATTGGAACCAAAGCCACTACATGAAAAATGTGGGTAAGAAAGGCCTACAAGAAAAGTACAAATAAGTAAACATTAGTTCCTCCATTAAAATAATATTCAAATAGGGGCCCAAGAGTGATTGTGGAGGGAAAGATTGCTTCCTCCCTGAGGTGGCCCTTGATAACCCCCTCCTGTGTCAGGTGCCTGCCTGATGCCCTCCCTCCTTGTGAGCTTTATTATGTGCACATTGGTGCGCACCCAACTGAATACTTTGTCACCAGAAGAAGACAATTTGCCTGCATAGAATAATAAACAACAGTCTCTCTCTCCTGCTAAATCTTAAAACTTTAAGAGAATAAATCCTTTGAAATCTGCAGGTGGAAAAGGAAAATCTACTGAAGTTATTAACAAGTTTGTTAGAAACCCTCACAAATAGGTCGTTAAGGTTTCCAACTTCCCTACAGCAGAGGTGGAATTGAAGTTAAAAAGTGTCATTTTTGTCACCGCAGAAACGAGCATTTTGAGGTACGGTTTTTGAGATGAAATGGTGTAGCCTGGTACAGCCAGCTATGCAATACAGAGCGACAATGTCTAGAAAGAGTTGACTTGAGATATGGAAAGAGTTTATTTAGATGCTATGTAATCTTAATTTTTGGATAAACGAGTGATATCTGTATTTCTTGGAATTTCTATGCATAGAGAAATGCAAATGTAGTTATGAATATGCATAAGTAGACAGCTTAGCATATAAGTGTGAGCCTGTTGACATGACATGACTAAACCCAGTTGCTTTCAAGGTCATCGTTTCCTCTAACATTTATAATTGGTAGTAGAATAGGGAGTTGATTTTCAAAGAAGATCTGAAGGGGGGAAAATGATACAAAATCTATTGTAATCCTCTGAAGTAAGACCTGATTGTTTCTTACATGATTTAGTACCAAGTGTGTTTTGGAAAGTACTTCTAATACATGAGCTAACTGGTTAGACCAGACTCAGCCGTACAGAGTGGCAGTGTGGGCCCGAGCTATTTGGTTTCCGTTCAGCAAAGATGAGGAAAGTGACCTCCGAGCAGCTTCCTCCCACGACTCCCAGAACTCGTGCTCTTCCCACTGCCGGTGTGGAAGCATGTCCATGAAACCACCAAACATGTTGGTCCTGTCAGCTCTGCCAGATGGAGGCTGACTTGCTGTGTATCTAGCCAAAAAGGGGAGCCAGAGAAATGGGAACATAACCAAAATCGCTCAGCCTCCAACTTACATTAACCAACTTACAGATATTCCTAGGGTAACTGTGTTTTGTTAGATGTTAACTAGATTCAGGAATATATCATTTGCAGTGCTTGTATTGGTTTACTGTAACATTTTCAGATCTTTCAACACTGTACTAAAACATTTCAATAAAGTCCTACTTCTTTCATAGCGTGCATCATCATTGTGGAGCTGTGTGTTTTGCCTGAGTGATGTTTTATGGGGTACCTGAAAATGCGCGCGACTTCCCTGACTATAGCCCACCATATAAAATTACAGAAAAGCCAGTTTTTTGAAGTCAGCTCTTTTCTTTTTTTATTCTCTCACCCGAGGACATTTTTTCATTGCTTTTGTAGCGAGAGAGGGATGTTTGTTGATTGACTTCTTGCACACGTCCTGACTGGGGACCAAACCTGCAACCTGCGTATGTGCCCTGACTGGGAATTGAACCCACAGCCTTTCAGTTTATAGAATGACACTCCGACCAACTGAGCCACACTGGTCCAGGCTCTCTCCTCCATTTTGAAGGTATTTCTGAAGGACTGATTAGCAGTCTCCTTGCCCCAAAGTGTAATAGTGGTGCCACATAAGGTATCCAAGTTGATATTTCTAGATGTTTCCTGTAAAACTGAAGATTGCAGTATTTACACAGCAAAGTAGTAATGTTCGGTAGCCATAGGTTGGGGCAGACCAAACTTAAATGTATGCCCCGTAGAAGTTTCTCTTGTGCTTTGATTTCAGAAGTGCCAGGAAGCATTTCCTGTTCCCACAAAACAACTTCTACTCAGTGATGCTTTAAGTTACTCTCGTAGGGACAAGATAAATTTATATAATATTCATGCTCTCCCAGTAATGCTCTGGTTTCAAGTGTGGATAACCCAGAGTGGCAACCTTTTGTCTTGAAGTCCCAGTGGAATATAAAGAACTAAACTCAGCTCCTCTGCAGATGATCTGTTTGAGAGAATGTGATGGAATGTACTCGAAGGGAGGGGGGAAATGAAGCAGTGGTGGGAACACTTCAATTCCATCTAATGATGCTGTCACACCTCTGGGTGGGGGCACTTCATTTCATGTGGCAGATCTTACCAAATCCAGCGGAGCTACAGGATGGACAGGCTACGTGTCAGGGAAAGATGAAACAGAGGTCCAGAGGATGAGTAAGGCTAGGGTGATCCGAATGGGCTTTGTGAAGGGAAGGCTTATTGGTGGTACTTCATGGCAGAATTTTCCAGAACCAGATGGCTGTATTCCAGCAAGGGCTCAAGCAGGATCAGCCCAAGGTGTTTGGTGTGTAGTATGTTTGAGCGAGGATAGCCAATGAAGATGGAAATGAGGGACTGAAACATACTAGCATATATCCTTCATGTGTGTTGCCTGCAGACGTCAACATGTTGAGTCAGTCCTTTTCCCTACAGAGCTTCACTTTATTGCTTGACCTCCTGTACCCCAGAAACACGTCGCTCCGTTGTTTCCCTGCCCTCACTTCCCAACACCACCTTCTGGGTTGGTTGGCTTCACTGTAGTCTCCAAGCTCTGTTTTGTGTTCTTGAAAGGGCCCAACACAATCCCCTCACCCAGAGCCTCATTGTCCTGACCATCTCCATCAAGGGTAGCGTTAGGTAGTGACAAACAGATGCATGTTGAACATACTTCCAACGGGCTGTAGAAATGACAGGAATGAATGCCGTGCAATAATAGAGATGGTGATCAATTGAAGCCCTTCACACCAACCTGATTTGCGTGACCATCCCAATATAAATGGAACCCAAAGCGGTGCCCTGCATAATGATAAGAGCAGTTCTCATTCTCCTCAAGGCTGAGTCCTGTGATCAAGAGAAAAACCAGCCAAAACAATTTCACATTTGAAAAGCAATAAAAATGGCAAAGCAAACAATGCAATGCGTTGGAAAGTGCCCTAAACTGGGAGTGTGGTGATCTAGAGGCTGGTCCCTGGTATGCTACTGCCAAGATGTGTGGCCTTGGGCAGATGTCATCTATCACTGATTACTGCAATCATATTTTCCTTTTTCTTCAATTATATAAACACTTTATTACTGATTATAAAATAATATATATCCATTGAAAAAATTCTGGTAAATACAAGGGCAAGAAATTTTTAAAAATTGTTCACAATTACTTGGCAATAACAATGGCTAAAAATGTAGCATATGACCAAACAATAATTTGTTTAAAAAATTAAAAAAAAATTTCTTACAGTTATTATCATTTTCCATGTCATTAAATATTCTAATACATGACTTCCAGAGGCTGCATAGTAATCTAAAGTAATAGGTTTTGAATCCAGTACCCTTGAAAAAATAGGAAGTAACAGATCTTGGCTTAAATACTAATCCCCTTACCTTTCTTTCTCTTCTATACATCACAAGTGGTATACTGTTACTTTGGTGGTTCCCAGCGAACCATGGCTCCCAATTTTCACGCTCATGCGTAGTGCCCTCCCTTACTGACTCTTGGCTTGGCCAATACATAAGCCATTCACAAGGATAATGCAAGCAAGGGCTTAGTGCTTGCTCATTGGGCTTGTCTCTACTAGAATACTCACTCTTAGTATCCAATCACCATGAAAAGAAGCCCAAGCTAGCCACATGGAAAGCAAAAAAGCAAGAGGTCACAACCTCCCAACCTTCCCCACTGGGGTACCGGACATGTGAACAAAGCCCTTTGACTGCAAGCGCATGAGAGACCCCAACTGCGACCAACGGAAGGACAGCCCAGCAGAGCCCCGCCAATGCACAGGGTAGTGAACACATAAAATTGTAGCTGTTTTAAGCTAAGAAGTTTCAGCGTGGTTTGTCACACAGCAATACGTAAAACTGAAACACGACAGCATCAAATGTGAATAGTCGCATCGAATAGAGAAAGTAGATCTTTAGAATCATAAACTCAAGCAGGCCTTTTGGCTTATAATCTGGTCAAATGGCTGAGGACCCGGCTGATGAGATGAGCATGGGCTGTGGAGTCAAAACAACATGAACTGTAACCCAGTTTTGCATATTACTAGATACATGACTTCTTAGAGTGTCGGCTTCCATGTGGGCAGATCAGGCTTTAGCACCAGCTACCTCGCAGGTGTTTCATTTTTAGGCTTCGTGAGTGACGGTGCTTCTAACACAACGGTGTCAAACTCATTTTCACCGGGGGGCCACATCAGCCTCAAAGTTGCCTTCAAAGGGCCGAATGTCATTTTAGGGCTGTATCAATGGAACCACTCCTTAACAGTCAAGCGAGAGCTCAGTGCTGCCACCAGGTAGAAACAAGGTGCTGGACCAGATAAAACAAGGTGGAGGGCCAGCGGGCCTTGTGTTTGCCACCTGTGTTCTAACGCAATGGAAACATTAGCCAGGTGAAGGAATGGATATACAGGTGTGAGGAACATTTTTATTAGGCAGTCGTGTCCTTGAAACACAAGAGACTATTCTTTCCACTCTACCTTACTACCAATGGACTAACTTAGCCGGTCTACAAAAACCAGATGGCAAGATGGATTCTCTGTAATGCCCACCTGCTTCTGATATTTCAAAAGTGCTTCTGATATTTCCAGGCAGCAGGCAGCCCGCTTGGAGACCATGACAGCCATAAATAGCCTTTCCTCTTTTTAACCAAGTCATCTACTTCGTTATTTGCATCGGGGGCTTTTTTCAAACCATCTGACCCTTTGGACTCTTCTGGTAGGACGCGTCCCAAACAGGAAAGAAGGGTGTTGTCACATGACGGGGCATTTCCTGTCAAGGACCTCTTCAGAACACTTTCACTTCAAGGTAAAATGAAACTCACAGGCCTGAGCAGACAGGTGCTTCACAGTTTAGCATAAAGCAGGGGTGAGGCACAAAAGACAAGGGTGACTGTGGCATGAGGCTTTGTGATGCTGAAACCATGTCATATACAAAGGAACTGTGTGGCCTGTGTTCTGTCTCCGTGTGTCACTGACAAAGAGCAGGCTCGTGGTATCGGCACATTTCTAGTACAGAACATGATTTCAAAAGGATTCATTGTTGTGTCTAACTGAAAGGGTTTGGCCTTGTGATAAAAATACCATGAAAGTCCTCTCTCCTTTTCATCAAGCAGACCCTGACTTTCCAAGCCCAAGAGTGGAAACAGGCAGCAGGAATCGGGGAAGCAGTAGGGTTAATACCTACCTCTCACTCACCGCACGTTCACCCAAACCGAGCAACTTGCGTAGAGACACAGTAAGGCCTATTCTTCCCCACGCTGGGAACGTGGCATTGGGTGGACTGGAGCAATTTGCTCAGGGGATTTATTTAGGTGTCCATCAGCTGTAGGAGACTATGTATGATGCTATGTTCCTACCGAACCTGTTTGATGTCTATGCCGGAGTCAAATGGCAGAGCTGGGACTCAAACCTGGGCATCGGTCCCCAGCTGTGCGCTTGTTCAACCACCGCTGTGGATGTTGGCTCCGGTCTGGCCTTCCTTTTAATTTCAGAGGTTAAATCCCAAGAATCCTTCAATGTTTAAATCTGTAGATTAACATGACAGAAAATAGGGCTGCCAAGATAAAATACGGGATACCCAAGTAAATTTGAATTTTAGATAAACAGCCAATGTTTTTTGTTTTTTTTTTAGTATAAGCATGGCCCATGTTGCCAAATTTAGCAGCCCTACAGTAAAGCTTATCTACCCACCAAGGGTGGTTCCTGATGTGCCCAAAGGAAAAAAACAAAATGTAGTGAAACTTAGAAAACCCAGTATGAGGCAACCCACCTCCTACTTCTTCATCCAATAATTGCTCTTGAGCATACTAGCCTGCAGGAGCCTGGGCCGACCATGTGGCAGTCTCCCGGGTCATCACTCAGACTGGGTCATCCCTGGGGCCACAACTAACTCTTCAGCAGAAGGTCTTCCACAGGTTCAAGGTGAGTCATCGCACTATTTACTTGTAATACCGAAGACCTGAAATAGCCCAGCTGCCCATCATTAGAGGGACAGTTAAGTAAACTGTGGAGTATCCAGACAAGGAAGGCTTTCTGGCTGTGAGGAAAGAGTGAGGATTCCCCTCTACGAAGCTGTAGTGTAGAAGGAACTCCACATAAAAAGGCAAGTGTGGAACGAAGTGTATGATAATGAAATATACCTAGGGGGTACTTAGGAGGGGAATAAGGAGATAAAGAAATTCTGGAAAGACCCTGGCTGGCGTAGC